AAGGTCACCTCTGCTTCTCCACCTCCGCTGACAGAAGGACCTTCAGGGCCCGGGTCGCCGCCGGCAGGGCCGTTTGGAGACCGATCCTGGGAGAGGGGGGCGTCCAGGGCCGAGGCCGCGATGTGGGGATCTAGGCATGGATGGGCCGACCGTGTTTTCTTTTTAAAAGTCAGCGTGCGCTTTGAGCACTCGGATGGCACCTATTTTGTGCCTTGCAGGAAGCTTGCTTTCTGCTTGTTACGTGGCATCTGGGAAATGTCCCCACACTTTTGGAGTATCCAGCTCCTGAGGCGGCGGGTCATGTTGGTCTTAAATCAGTTCCTGCTTCTCGAGCTCAGCGAGACGGGGTGGCTTATCGGCTTGGCCGCTGTCTGCTGAGCTAATGGACTTGAATCCTGGCCCAATGCTTTCTGCTGCCCTTTTCTGTAGAAGCTTGTGATCTTATGGAATTCTGGGAAATTGGGGGAATGTTGCCTTTATTAAAAAACAAACTATCTGTAATAAGCCCTTGTGAGCTGGCTACTCTCTTATGTTATCTGTAATGATATCTGTTGAGCCTCTCTCTAGACTAGTGTTATACACCGCTTCCGTTTGTCACTGACTTCTTAACATTGTATGTAAGTCTTCGGGAAAATGATGGGCACATACGCAGGAGTGAAGCATCTCTCCCTGTAGCCCAGTCGAGTGCAAGCCACTGGAGTTGTTTACCCGCGTTAATTGTAGTGCTAGTTGCATTCTTGACCTCTGCTAAAGGTACACTTATCCCCGACTCCATAGAATTAGACACGCGTCTTCGTGGAACCCGCCTGAGTACAAAGGAATCTCTTTCCTCAGCCCAGTAAAGTGCAAATCTTAAAAACTTGAGTGGTCTTCCCTATTACAGTTATGGTGCTTGTTGGGATCTTACTAAATTTCAACTTTTGCTTAATTTTGTAAAATAGAGTTTGTTTTTTTTACAGAGAGGAAGGCAGAGGGATAGAGAGTTAGAAACATCGATGAGAGAGAAACATTGATTAGCTGCCTCGTACAACCCCCCTACTGGGGATGTGCCCACAACCAAGGTACATGCCCTTGACCGGAATCGAACCTGGGACCCTTGAGTCCACAGGCCGACGCTCTATCCACTGAGCCAAACCGGTTAGGGCTGTTTTTTTTTTTTTTTTTAATTGAATTTATTGGGGTGACACTGGTTAACAAAATTACACAGGCTTTCAGGTACACAATTCTGTAACTGTTCATCACCCCAAGTCAAGTCTCTGTCCATCACCATCTAGCCCTCTCATACCCTCTTCCACCCCTTGCCCCCTGTGTAAAAATGCAGTAGAGGTTTTTACATATTTCTCAGGCTCCTGTTACCTCACACAACTGTTATTGCCTTTATGATCTTTTCCTTTTCCAGTTGGTCTGGCATACCAGTTGACAGATTAATCTTTCCAAGCATCCTGCTGTCTTGTTGGTTTATCCACTTCTAAGTGTCTTTTATTAATCCCTTCCACCCCCCTTTGCCTACCAGGTTAAGGAGGCACACTCAGGTCCTTCTACTAAATGGTGCCAAGTTCCTTTTGCCAGCTCATCTTCCTTGGCCCATAATTGGATCCTAATGTTTAGTCAAATGGGATTATTGCTGTTTTGCAAATGGGCTCGAGTTCATACTGCTTCCTCCCCTCACCTCTGAAACTGGAATGCCCTTTCCTTTATATCTGTCAGAAGTCTGTTCTTCAAGGTCCATTTCATATCATGTCTTGCTTCTTCTGTTAGTGCTGTTTTGAATTCTTATAATGTATACTAGTGGCCCAGTGCACGAAATTCGTGCATGGTGTGTGTGTGTGTGTGTGTGTGTCTCTCTCTCTCTCTCTCTCTCTC